GCCCCCCCCCCCCAGCCACGGTACTTACGACTGGCAGGCGAAGGACATGCCGAAGATGGGGATGCAGCGGAAGACGCCCTCCCAGCGGACGTAGCTGACCCGCCGCAGCCAGCGCCCGCCGAAGAGGCCGTGCTTGAGGGAGGACAGCACCATCTGCACCGAGAGGGGGCCATAGTGCCGGGAACAGGTCAGGGCACGGCCGAGTCCCACGGCACCAGGCAGCGCTGCGGGGTGGAGGCTGACGTGTGCAGCTCTCCCTGCCCCAGCTGCAGCCCGCACCCTCCCGGACCCCACCCGAGTGCCCGCCTGTGCCGCAGGCCCTGCTTCAGAGCACCCTGCGGGATTTCTGTGCACCCTGGGGTGGGTGGCGGAAGAGGCACTGCAGCATGGCGGAAGAAGCCGTCTGCCAGTGACAGAAGGCGGTCCCCACTATAGGCAGGCCCTCCCGGCCAGGGTGTGGCTCTCAGAAGAGCGCCAAGGTCGCCCCACGCAGACCTCACAGGGCAGGCAGGGCCGCCAGGAGCTGCGGCTATCCAGCCCCCCAGGGCCGTCCTGCCAGGCCCGCTCCCGCAGGAAGGCCGTCTCTGACCAGCCCGGGACTCACCACGAACATGAACACAGCGTAGAAGAGGAGTGCCATGGCGCTGAAGGACTGGATGGAGCCCATCACGTTCCTCTGCAGGCTGAGGGGCAGCACGATGCACAGCGACACTGCGAAGAGCAGGAGCACGCGCAGGGCGCCGCCCACCTGCGGGGAGCCTGCTCACAGGGCGGCCAGGCCAGCGCACCCAGGCAGGGCCAGCTGGCGGCACAAGGCTGCACCCATGCCCCACAAGGACAACCGCCACCCCCATGGGGAGGAGGTCTGGGCGCCCCTGCCCTGGGCCTTCACAGGAGCCGCCAGACACATCCCTCCACCCAGCACTCCGGAGTCCTGGAATTCTGACCCCAGAAATGGACCAGGCCTCCGGACCGGGGCTACAGTCACGGAGCCTGCAAAGGCCTGGGCATGGCTGAAACCCGGCCTGGCGGTGGCCAAGGCAGACTCTCCAGCCTCCTACCCTGAGCCAGGGCACCCCGAGGGACAAGAGTCCCACCAGGACCCTCTGACACACCCTTCACACTCTCTGAGCTCTAGTCCCCAGGACGTAGTTAGCCAAACCCACGCCTCCTGGCACGGGAGCGCCCAAGCTCGAGGAGGCCCTCAACAACCGTCGGCGAGGGGCGACGACGCACCAGGGTCTACACGAGGCTGACGAAGGACAGGGCATATGGGGACCCCGCCAGGCCACACAGCCAGTGCTGTCTCGCCTTCAACTCCCACAGAACTAACAGGCGGGACACCGGGCCCTGGGCAGAGCCGACAGGTGCTCTCTGGGCAGGAGTGACCGAGTGCCTGAGCAGGGCACAGAAATGGCCGGTCAGCCAGAGCCCTTGGGACACTCATGGCGCTCTGAGGATGTGGCCCCTGGCACTGCCTGCTCAGGCAGGACCCCCACCCAGTCCTACTTTGAAACCCTTCCTACCCGGAGGGAGCAAATGCCAAAGGACCCTCAAGAGAAGACACCCTGGCAGCAGCGGGCCTGCCACTCAGCCAGCCCTTCCCACCCCACAGGGTGCAGCCAGGCTCCGCTCCGGCAGGGGAGGAAAGGCGTGCAGGGCCAGCTCACAGAGATCCTCGGGGCAGGGGTGGTGAGTGAAGGATGCCACCCAGATGTCTCTGCGAGCTGCAAGGAGCAGAGTCAGGCAACTGTGGTGGCAGTGCCTGCAGGGCTATGGAAGCAGGGTAAAGCTGAACTCTGGCCGCATGTGTGTAGACTGGCTGAGGCGGTCCGCCCCTGAGCTGTGAGCTGCACCTCCAAGCTGCACCGCCCCGAGCTGTACCTCCGAGCTGCACCGCCCCGAGCTGTACCTCTGAGCTGCAGTGCCCTGAGCTGCACTGCCCTGAGCTGTACCTCCGAGCTGCAGTGCCCTGAGCTGCAGCACCCTGAGCTGCACTGCTCCAGCTGCACCGCCCCACCACAGCTGTGCTGTACAGCCACCTGAGGCTCCCCTTGCAGCAGTTGGTCCTGCATGGGCCAGGGCCCCCTCTGCCTGCCGTGCCCCGGCTCCCAAGGGCCCAGACTGGCAGTGGCACAAAGGAAGCTAGGAGCAGACCACTGCTCTGGCCTGGGCTCACGGAGCATCTGCTGAGCCACTGCAGACAGGACAGTGAGCCTCCCAGGAACCGGAGCACTCACAGGTGCTCACCTGGAACCCAGAGAGCCGTGCGAAGAAGTGGGAGCCCAGGTCACCGATGACGACGTAGAAGGCCACGCAGGTGCCCAGCATCAGCCCGATCATGCTGCCGAGGAGGGAAGCGGGTCACAAGTGACTGACAGGAGTATGCCTCCTGGCCGCAACCAAGTGGCCCAATGGAGCCCGTAGGGGAAGAGCTGAAGGCCAAGCCCCACCCCACTGCGTCTGCGGGCCCCAGACTACCAGGATAGGCCCAAGAGAAGACGTGACTGCAGGAGCGCCACCGTCCAGGACAGGTGTGTCCCAGGGATTCGCCCGCTCGCCATGAACACGGACCACCAGGTGAACCTTCACCTGGTGGTGACTTCCCTTCCCACGGGAGGCCTGCGGTAGTCCCTCGGGGGCCGCGTAGGCTCCTCACGGCAGACCAGGGGAGGCCGGCCAACCACCTGTGGGCGGGCTGCCCATCGCGCTCCCGGCTCCCTGAGGGACTGAAATGCCTGCAGCACCCCGGACTGCTTTTATGAAAGGAAGAGGAGCATGACCTTTGGGTGTAATGCCACCCTCACACCGCAGTGCCGGGGGCGGCTCCCGGGCTGGTCGGAGCCGTGAACTGTGGGCGGGAGGGGGGCCACTGTGTGCGTCCCCCAGCCTCCCACTTCTGCTTTACTAGGACACCCACAGACTCCGACCTCGACGTGGGCTGTCTCCAGGGCATAGGAGGGCGGAGTTCCTGCGTCCCCCAGCGGGAGGTGCCCACAGCACCACGTGCAGACACGTCACTTCCGCAGCCATCCGGGAGCCTGTGCAGCTCAGGTGCCGAAGGGACAGGGCGGGAGGCAGGTGCACATACCTGGTTTCCACCAGCATCTTCCCGGCTTTCCCGTAAGCGTGGAAGGCTAGCTCGAGGAAGGGAGAGAGCGGCTGTCAGTGGGACACCTGTGAGGGGCTGCGTCCCCCCGAGCTGCGTCCCCCCGAGCGGAGGGCGGTGGGCTGGGCTCCGGCTCAGCGCAGACAGAGCAGGACGCGAGCCACCGCGCCGTGCTCCTGGGCTTGCAGGTGGTGCTGTCTGGCCTGCCATAGAGCCCGGGCTGCCCAGGCGGATGTGCAGGTGCTCCCTTCATCCTCCGGGGCGGCAAGGAGGCCGAGCGAACCCCGTCCGGGCGCAACTTTGGGAAGGGAGGTTCTAAGCCGGGTGAGGAGCCCCGGTAACTCGTAGCAGAGCTGCCTCAGTAGAGGAGCTCCCAGGACCCTAACGGTGGCCCAGCCGCCCCGCAGGCCCGCACAGCCCAGCTGGGCCAGGCCAAAGGCACAGCCGCCTCCTAGGGGATAGACAAAGGGGCACGCACGGGCCCCAGCTTCCCGCCCTTCATCCCATCCCCCAGGCCTGGACAGGTCTGGCCACCGGCCGCGAAGTGCAGAGCCACTGCCCACTGCTCCTGGACGCTGAAGGAGCGCCCGCCGTGCCACAGCGGGAGGCTGGCACCAGATGTGACACCGCCCCGAGGTGGCTGTGCCTTTCCCGCCGGCCGGCCGGGACACCTCTAAGTTCACTGCACGGAGCCCACACGGGCAGGACCCTCCAAATCTGAGGGGACGGGGAGCCAGCGGGGGCCTGGGCCACAGGTTTGAAAGCAACGGTCCCCAGCGCATGTCAGCAGCAGCAGCCCAAGGCCACGCGTCACCAAAGCAAGCCGTGGTGACAGCACACCGGGGACGTGACACGGCCCCCAGACGCAGGCTGCAGAGTCCTGGCCACCCAGAGCCCCCCTAGTCCCCAGACGCAGCCAGCCCAAATGCCAGGCCCCTGTGCAGAATGGCAGGCAGGGGATGGCCCAGCCTCAGCAGGTACCAGGGGATGGCTCCCACCCAACATGGCCCCTTCCCACTCGGGCCGGCCGGGGCGAGCAGCCGGCCAGACCCACAGGCCTGGGTGCATCCGAGCATGCCCCCGGTCCGTGCTCGCTCACGCACTCTGGGACCTCCGCTGTCTCTGGTGGGACGAGCTGGCTGCAGAGGCTCGTGTGTTACAGGCCACAGCTGGCAGAGCGAAGGGCGGGGGCCACCAGCCACGTGCTCACAGCTTTTCACACCCAGCCCCACGGTTTCACTTCCTGGGGCCTCCACGACTTTGAAGAATCGGCAGGCAGGCAGTTATCAGAAACCAGGGCCTCGGGGCCAGGGTCACAGGGCTCTGAGGCCGCAGCCGCTGCTATGACCTTGGTGGCGGGAGACTGGGGTATGGCAGCCCTGCAGGCCGTGGCCACATGGGTCTCCCAAGCACCTGCTTCCTGGGTTCCAACAGGTGCATGTCACCCCAGGCTGACAAGTCGCCTCTCTGCAGGGCCAGCTTGGCTGTGAACTTCAGCTCAGGGGCCGTCACGACAGACTAGCAGCACCAAGCTCGGGGAGGCGAAGCACAGGGCACCCCGCTTCTATGGGCAGAGCGGAGCCGGTGTCAGGTGCCGACGCCAAGTGGTGGGAGCAAGTGAGAGGCCAGAGCCCGAGCTCTACCGGAACAGGGAGTCCTGACACACACTGGGGCACCCATGGCCCTCACAAGGGGACCAGGCACCCGCACCAACACCCCACAGGGCCGGCTGCTGGCAGCACGTCTGCTGGTGTGCTGACGTCCAGGCCAGGGAGCCCCAGAGCTGGGACGGCTGCAGAGGGCAGGGAGAAGGCACCGGCGAGCTGGCCCTGACCCAGCTGGGGCTGCCCACAGGCCCCTCGTGGGGAAGCACGGCAAGTGCCCCCGGCAGCTCCGAAGAGGCGCTGGGCACCAGGGGGACTAGCACGATGAGACAGCCGTGAGGCCTGTGGGACAGAGGGGACTTCCCGACGTCGAGGGGGCCAGGTGTGGGGCGGGCCACAGGGCAGACCTGCGCTCGCGCCCTTCGCACCGCTGGGCTCTGACGCTGCAATAAGGTCACCGGTCCCCAAGGGCTGTGTCCCACTTACACACAGGGAGACCCAAAAACTTGGCCGAAAGTGGCGGAGGAGCGAGCAGGAGGGACGAGGCCGCGGACCCAGCCAGAACACCCGCCCTCGCGCCACCCGGCCACCCGGCCCGGCCCCGCGCTCACCCAGGCCGGCGTAGGTCCTGCGCTTGCTTAGGCTGGCGCACTTCACCAGGAACATGCACGACTGGTGTGTCATCCAGGAGCAGAAGACCAGGAGCAGGGCTCCCAGCACGATGCCGCACTGTGGGGACGGTGCGTCAGCACAGTGGCCACCGTGGTCCTGGGCGCCTGCCCTCCCTGTCCCTGACCTCCCACAACGGCTTTCCCTGGCTGTGGCGGCCACACGCTTGTCCGCCCACGAAGACCCGCATGTGGTCCGAGAGCACAGCAGGGCCTCGGCCCCTCCTGGGCTCAGTGAGCCCCGTGGCCCAACGGCCTTGAGTGTGAGCACGTCGGAAGGAAGGGACTTGACAGGCCGTCCACGCCTTTCTTAGACGGTAGACTGGTCCAGCAGGCGGCGTAAGGGTTAGGCCCCTGGACTCCCACACAGCCCACCACAGTTCGAGTCCCAGATCCAGCAGCTTGAAACTCTTGTCAGCGCGTGTGCGTGCCCAAGACCCCGAGAGGAGACAGAGAAGGGATTGCAGCGTGGCCATCCCCCTCCCCAGGGGGTGATTTCTCACTTTCTGTCTCTCTGATAAAAAAAATTCTTTAAAAAAAAAAGTGAGACCAGCAGATGGTGTAATAGTTACATAGCTGAACTCCCACGTAGTGGACTGCGGTTCAAGGCCCAGACCCAGCAGCTTAAAAAAGTGAGATGCCTACTTTGCGACCACTCTGCCCTCGGGGCATCTATGGGGTGAGCGGGTTCCGACAAGTGCGTGACGGCACTTACTGCAGGCTTGCCTGCAACCAACAGGCAGAAACGACCCGGTACCCTCCCAGTCAAAGAGCAAACCTGCGTTGTCCACACCAGGGGACGATGCCACTCCACGTAAGGGACAAACTGAGCCAGCAACAACATGGACTGGCTCAAACACTCTGATGAGCGAGAGACGGGAGACTGCAGAGCTCCGTGTACGGCACACTCAGCAGAGGCACGCCTGGCGCCAGAGGACCAAGGCGACCCCATGCGGAGGGTGCGGCCCCTCGGAGCCGGCTGCGCTGGTGACGCGGCACACAGAAGCACAGCCTGCTCCCCCTCCCTCTATGGCGAGCACATGTGCCCTGTGCCTGCACCAGCTGATGGTGTAATGGTCACATCGTGGACTTCCACACGGCCCACAGCAGTGTGAGTCCCAGACTCGGCAACTTAAAACGCACGCCGGGCAGGCATGTGTGCGTGCCCCAAACCCCGAGAGGAACACAGAGAAGGGCCTGCAGTGGGGCCAAACCCCTGGGGGGTGATTTCTCGCTTTCTGTCTCTCTGTCTCTGCCTCTCTGGCGAGTGCATGTACCCTACAGTAAAAACCTCTCTAAAAACCATAATAATAAGGGACCAGCAGATGGCATGGTGGTTATGTTTCTGGACTCCCACATGGCTGGCTGGTTTAAGTCCCGGACCCGGTGACTTCAAACTCACACTGGGTGCGTGTGCATGCGTGCCCAAGATCCTGGGAGGAGAATGGAGGAGAACGGACCGCAGTGTGGCCACCCCCCTGGAGTGAGACTTCTCACTCTCTGTCTCACCGCATGTCCCTCTCTCTCACCCCAGCCAGTGCACACGTCCTAAGTCAGAAAACCTCTCTTCCCCTCCCCAAACAAAAATAATAAATAAAATTAAATAACTTTTTTTTAATGCCCGTGGGACCAGCAGATGGCATAATGGTTACATCACTGGACTCCCACGGGCCGACCATGGTTCAAGTAACGGGCCCAGTGGTTTGAAACGCACACCAGATGCGTGTGTCTGCATGCCCACAATCCCAAGAGGAGAATGGAGGAAGAACTGCAGCACGGTCACCTTTTTCTCAGTCTCTGTCTCTCTGGCCAGCGCATGTGCCCTATGGCAAAAAAATAAAATAAAATAAAACATAAAAAAGCCCACAGTAAGATATGACCAAACACTCACGACTTAAATGGAAAGACGCTCGGACCTGCAAACCCTCACCAGCGCAGAGGAAGCGTGTAAACACGTCTGCAGGCAGAGGTCAAAGGTGCTCCCGCGTCCCACCAGCAGAACCCAGAACTACTAACACAGCTGTTCTTGGTGCCGTGGCCACCCACACTAAGTGCACACATGCCCAGAGTGCCTGGGGTCCCCGTGAGGAAGGCTGGGCACCAGAGCAGCTGGCCCTTCTGCATATGCGACTGTCTGTACCCTTGTCTGCTCAGGGCTTCCCCACTGCATCCACTCCTTCAGGGCAGGCCTCTACCTGGCCCTTCTGCACACGCTCTGGCAGGGGCCCAGGCCGGGCCTGGGACAGTGGGATCACCGTTCACGGCATGTGAGCCACGACCACAGCGGCACTTCAGACGGGAATCCAGGACTCACACACGTGGCCCTGCCAACACGGCTGGGCATGTCCAGACGCAGCTGTGCTACCAGGCAAGGCACAGAGCAGGCCGGGACGTGGGGTCGTTCAGAAACACACAGGCGCCAGCTCAAGGCTGGGCTTCCCCAGGCCCCAACAGACGTGGCCCTGGGGCCTGTCCTCCCGCCCACGCGTTCCAACCACAGCAGGAGACACTCCCACCGGGTACTCCCACCCAGACGGCCAAGTGCCAGTGGGCATCAGATCCCAGATCGGGAGAACTAATACAGACACACACGCACACACGGTTCTTAATTTGCTACGGGGAGCTGAGAAACCACCTCGGGGAGGGCCACCAGGCAATCCCTTCTCCTCCAGCCCCTCAAGATTTGGGCATGCACACGTGCGCACACACAAGCTGCCAGATCTGGCGCACAAAGCACACATGGAATCGCGCACCTTGGCCTGCACACCACTGGCCAGCCTGAGTTCCACACTAAACATGAAAAGGTGAGGCACTGACCTAAAAGCCGAACCGCCACCCACGGGGTGCAAGATGACCGCTTCACTGCTTGTCACCTGCTAGGTTTCATGGAGGCTCTCCAGGGGACACCACCAGGCTGCCAGCCCTTGCCCTGAGTGACCGACCACAGTTGGAAACTTGGTCCTGTCAGCTTGAAAAACCAGCCAGGCACATGTATTTGCATGTTGCAAATCCCAACGAGATGGAAAAATAGAGGAAAACGAATTGCAGCACAGCCACACTCCACTGGGGGATGCTTTCTCACTCTTTCTCTCTCTGATAAGTGCACACACCCTCAAGCAATTTAAAAAAAATAAATCACTTCTCATCCAACTTACAAGTTCTTCATTTACATCGAAGTCCTCATCAAAATTATTATTATTATTTTTTGGAGAGATTTTTGTCATGGGGTGCGTGTGCTCACCAGAGATACAGAGAGACAGACAGAAAGGGAGAAAGCGAGAAATCACCCCCAGGAGGGATGGCCACACCATAATCCCTTCTCCTCCATTCTCCTCTCGGGATCTCGGGCATGCACGCACATGCAGCCAGTGTGAGTTTAAGCCACCGGGTCCGGGATTCGAACCACGGTCGACTACATGGGAGTCCAGCGACATAGCCATTACGCCAACTGCTAGTCCCTGGGGACAGTCTTCGGGAAAGATGTGACCCATGTGCCATCCCAGCCTGTGTCCCTGCTGCAGAGCCAGCGCTGCTCATCTGCGGAGGGTTCCCACTGCCAGTCAGCTAGGCGGCCAGGCTTGGCTGCACCCCCGGCCTTTCCAGCTGGGGGA